TCAGCCAGCGCCCTGCCGTCTAGCACTACTGCCAGATCTACATACAGTCTCCCAAAGCAGTGCACAATCAGTGTCTCACATGGAGTGGAACGATGGTCAGTTCACGACTTGCCAGCCAAAACGCCATCCAGAACTTCCAGTCACGCTCACCATCATGCAGGAAGCCTATTCCAGATTCGGGAAGCGTCTCACAGGGATCGAGCGCAGTAAAGTCGACCGCGGCGTGCGCGCCACAGCGTGCGCTGACACAGGAGCCATGACCTGCTCTGGGGGAATGGAGATTTTGAAACTCCTGCGCTGTCCGGAACACCTTCTCCTGAAGACCTCACACCGCATCATTGGCGTAACGGGCACACGATTGGAGGTGATAGGCTCACTTCTGCTGAGGATTGAGGCCAAAGGACGAGTCACTAGACAAGAAGTGTACATCTCGCGCAACACGCACGGCCTCTATTTATCTGAAAGGGCCCTCAGAGACCTGGGAGTCGTGCCGGAACACTTCCCTTTGCCCGAAAACGGACCGGACGGATCTAAGGTTACGTCCCAGCGCACGGACCCAGATGAGGTCAACAAAGCACAGACCCACACGGCGCCCTGTGGGTGTCTGAAGAGGTCACCAGTGCCCGCGATCCCGGAGAAGATACCGCTTCCAGCCGTCGAGGAAAACAGGGAGAAGTTAGAGCACTGGATCAGAGACCATTTCGCCAGCAGCGCATTCAATACCTGCGAGCACCAGTCACTCCAGGAGATGACGGGCACTCCACTAGATATCCAGTTCAAGGCCGATGCAACACCGACGGCTGTTCATACGCCCATTCCAGTCCCCCACCACTGGAAAAGACAGGTAAAGGCCGGTCTGGACCAAGACGTACGCCTTGGCAGAATTGAGCCGGTACCACAGGGAACCCCGACACGCTGGTGTTCGAGGATGGTGCTCTCCTCGTCGGACAGTAGACCTCCAGCGGGTGAACGAGGCCGAGGAGTCTCCATCGCCCCCACCGCTGGACCCGCATGCGCAAGAGGCAGATCAGATGAGTCCCGGAGAACCGCGGCAGAGGACCTACTAGAGAAGCTCCCGGGGGCGGAGCGCGCGATCTGGATATGGTCGGACGGATCAGCGACAGGAGGAGTGACATCGGGCGGAGGAGGCGCCCACATCACCCTCCCGAACGGCAACACGGAAGAGGTCAGAACCCCAGCAGGCGTCTACTGTTCGAGCACAAGAGCGGAGCTGGTTGCACTCCGAGACGCGCTCGCAAAGATCGTGGAGATCGAGCAAGAGGACGCCGCCCCCGCCGGCGGTGACGACCCAATCATAGCCTGCCTAGACTCCCGTGCGGCGCTGATGACACTGGAGAGCGGTCCCGCAGCCCAGACTACCCAGCTGGGAGCCACCATCTGGCAGCAGCTGCTGCTACTGGTGGAGCGCGGTCGACCGGTGCACCTCCAGTGGGTGCCCGCCCACTGTGGCCTGGCCGGCAACGAGCGCGCCGATGCAATCGCAAAGGAGGCCGCAGGCATGGACCAGTCAAATGCCCCTATTGACACCAGGAGCGCCACCCGCGCCGCCGCCAGGTCTGCCCGGCGCCAGTGGCAACGTGCATGGCCAGACGGCTGGTACAAGGAAATATTCGGTGAAGAACATCTACCGGGACCGGTCAGCGGTGACAACCGGATGGCCGCGGTTGACACACATCAGCTGCGGGCGGGACACTGGAGCCAGTCGGCCCAGTACCTGCACCGCATCGGACGCCGCCCAACTGACACCTGTCAGGGCTGCGCCGACACCGAGTGCCCAGCGGCTCGATGCCTGGTGTGCGGCGAGGAGGCGGATACGCCGCGACACGTGCTGCTTCGCTGCCCGTGCCTGTGCGGCACGCGCCTCCACGCGCTGGGAAACATGCACGGTCGACCACCTGACCTACGACGGGACGACGTGGTGGCGGCCTTTGCCGCCGGCTTTCGCTCATTCCAGAGCCGATCGGCTACGCCCCGGCAATAGCTGGGGCCGGGAGGAACATCATCATCATCAAGCAGCGAAACGGCTTCTACAAGACAACACGAGCAGGTGCGGCCAGCTCAACAAGGATCAAGTGACACGAGCGCTTCTTCAGTTCCGTAACACACCTGGGCGCGACGGTACGCGCGAGTCACCAGCACAGATCCTCTTCGGACGGCAGCTACGTGATGGACTCCCGACTCCGCACTTTGTTCGTCCCGAATGGGGGAAATTGAGGGAGCTCCGGGAACGTGGGTACGCTCAGCTGCACGGAAAGAACATCGACAAACGCTGCCTTGAGCCACTTGGCGTTGGGGACATAGTACAAGTACAGAACCAGCAAGGATCTCAGCCGACTCGCTGGGACCGCACCGGTATGGTCGTAGAAACACTGGGTAACCGTCAATACAGCGTCAAGATGCATGGCAGTGGCCGGCTCACCCTGCGAAACCGCCGCTTCCTCAGGAAGATACAGTCTCTGAACCCTGCCAATCATCACCCAATGAACTACACCACGGTCTACCAACGAGATCGCCCGCTCCTGCGTCCCAGTGGACCGTCCGGAGCCCCCGTCCCGCCGGTCTTAAGTGCTGCGTCGCCGCCGGCCCCGGTGCCATTGCAGCCCGCCACCACCCATACGCCGATTCCAGCATCAACAGCAAAGGCGACTGCCCGTGCGCCTCGGGCCGCCTCCTTAGCCCCACCATCAGTCATCCCACCAGCCAGCACTGATCCAGGGCAGCCGCTTATCCAGCTACAAGCGCGGTCGGTAGTTCAGCAAGATCCGCCACGCCGGAGCACACGGACGCGAGTCCCTACTATAGTTCGTTTTTTTTTTCAAAAGGACGCTGGCTCCAAGTATGTTTTTCGAGCAAGCACGTGTTTTAGCCGCCAAAACGAGCAAAAACTGAACCTGAGAAAATCGAACGTCGACTAATTTTAACATGTGGTTTCTTCCCGATAATTTCCATATGTGCGTTTTGGAACCAGATATGGGAACAGTGGTGACGTTACGCTGTCTAACATGCATTGCAATGTAACTGTTGGCTGTCAGACCAAGGCCTCCGATCGGTGCTGACAACTGGCGACGGATTTGCGAATCTAGATGTACCGCAGCTGAGACAGATGGCGCTGTGTGTTCGGTCGGCCATGGGCAGTTCGTTCGAGGCGAGTCTATGCGGCCCTGTGGCCTGTGATTGGTCGCCGGTTAGGAGTGGGAGATCGGAAACAGCTGTGACGGGATGGGGGTTGGCAAGATGGCGACGATCGGAACGGCCATGCTTATATCTGTATTTTCGGATACAATAAACAAGTTTTGAGTGAGAATCACGTCTTGAGTGAACCCACGAGAACGGCCAATAGTGGTGGCAGCGGTGCTCAAGATGGGAGAGTGATTCTCGTGGTACGGACGGACTTTTACTGGAAACCGTGATTGCCGCAAGTCAACACGTGGCACAGATTGATATACGCAAGATGGCAGAGAAGGACATTTCACTCGATAAGTTTACTGGCGTGACAGCCAAGGATTGGATAGAGTGGCTCGAGGATTACGTATGTTACGCGGAAGGGAGAAAATGGAACCGGGAGAAGCAGGCGTCAAATCTCCGATTTTTTGTGACAGGCGACGTACGGGACTGCGTAAGAGACACTGGAGCCACAGACCTTAATGAGGTCGACACAGCAGTCCAGGCCCTGTTGGGTGGAAAACCGACCTCTCTAACGGCCAGTCAAGAAATCGATGCAATTACCTATAAGGGTAGCGTACTCGTCATGGTCCAACAGATGCGGAGATGGGCGAAATATATTACCAAACAGGAAGAAGTAGATCAGATGGTAATGCTACATCTTCAAAGGCAACTACCTGTGGCGTACGCAGAAGAAGTGATCAAGCGGGACTGTCAAAACCTGAAAGAGGCAGTCAAGGTCGTACAAGGACTCGAGCGGGCACATCAAATCCGAGTGATGCGTCCTCAACAGCCTGAGCAGGTTGTGAGTCGTGTGGTGGAAGGTCAGAGAGCAGATGGGCATCCTGAGAGATCAGCGGGCCATCAGCAGCAGCATGGCTCTCGTGGCGGCTTTGGTCGCCCACCACCTCGTGGTCAGCGAGGAGGACAGCGAGGACCGTTCGCAGGGAGGTGGCAGCAGCGTCAACCCCCACTGGGGACATCTGCTGGTCAGTTCCAGAGGCAGCCACGAGGTAGGAGAGGGGCCCAGTGTTTCACATGCGGAGGTGAGGGACACTTTCGAAGATCCTGTGTGTTTAAGAATGACAGGTGTGGAACGTGTGGCAGAGTGGGTCACCTGAGTCCCATGTGCAATGAAAAAAACGAGACACGACCCGCTACACAGAGCCTCCAGTAGTGGGTCATGGGTGTGAAGAGGACTCTAAGGAGCCTGAACCAGGGGGGAGGTACCTGAAAGTAAAAGTAGGTGATAAGGTAGTCGGTGCTCTTATCGATACAGGGGCTGATGAAACATTAGTTAAGTTGGATTGCCTGCCCCAGGGTACACCTACGTATCCCCTGGACAGTAAAGTTAAGTTAGCGGATGGAAGTGATGCAGATATTGTAGGTTGTGCTGTGCTAGATATAGAGATTGCCAAGTGTGTCCAAAAAGTAACTGTACTTGTGTCACGTAAGTTGTCTGAAGATTGTTTGATTGGAGCTAGGCTTCTCACTCAGCTGGGGGCAAAGATCGACATGAGCACAGTAGACCTGTCCAAAAAAAACCAACTTTTCGATGGACAAGCTCCCCTGGTGTTTTCCCATTGATAGATGGCCCAATAGCTAGCACACCGAATTTCAGCCCTCTAGCTAAACCCTCGACCCTAGCGCAAGAGCGTCAAAGTTTTCCGGTGCGAAGTGCACAGAGAAGGTCATTCTCCGGTGTGAGTCCTGCAGTTGTCGTGTCAGCAGCACTACGCATAAATGTAAAATAATGTGTGGTGAGATCCGTGTCATGGTCTGCGCCCCCCCCCCCCCCCCCACCTATATCCCCGCGCCGCCCCTGTGCCGCCTTCGCCATATTACCGGAGGGGTTGGGTCACGTGACCACGCTGACCTGGGAGCCGCGACCGGTCGGCGCGGTCACTTGTCCCCCGGTCACCGACCGCACCGCAGCGCCACGTCCACCGACTCTACTGCACCGCTACCAGCTACGTAACTGAGGTTAGTGTGTTTGTTTAATGTTGCCTCGTCAGCATAAAATATGCACCAAAAACGATAAAAGCACTAATTTGTTTTGTCGCATGAATAGTGGACATTTTCAGTGTTTCATTTCCACATCTCACTTTTAAATGTGGGCTGCTTTCTGTTTTGTGCTATGCTGGGTTCCCATGAAAATATTCACACAAAACAGCTGCAATAACCCAGCAGCTAATATAGATAATTTAATTGATGGTCGCTTTCAAATTAAATCGTGCTCATTTTTGGTAGATACATTTCGGATTAATTTGTATACCGGTAATAGAAATGGACCCATCTTATTTCTCTCGCTTTCAGACTGTTCCTGGCCACTCGTTCGTGCCATGCCGACCACTCGAGGCGGCAGAGGAAGACGATTTGAAGCAACAAGCGACAAAGGTGCTGACAGTGCTGGCCTGCATCCGTGGGAAGAAGCAGTTGCGTGCGGACTACGAAGAGTCTGCGTCCCTTGCAGTTATAGCTCTGGGCGGTGACTCGACAGAGGCAAACGGCGCTGCATCTGTGCGCTTCAAGAAACCGGGTGCCTGCCACAAGGCGCGCTGGATGGCCCACGTCATCTACGGGCTACGGCATCAAGATGTTCTTGTTCCGACATCAGCTACTGGAGCTGGGCATCATCTCCAAGGACATGCACGACAAGCTGCGGCGGTTCGCTGTGTTTGTCTGCCTCTTTTACGTCAAAGAGTGGCTCACCTGCACAACAGCTGCGGATGCCGCTGTCAGCGACCTCAGCAGGTACCAGGACCTCAACGTTCTCCGCAGGGTGGACCCTAAGGTAGCGGAGGCGGCAATGGAGGTGTACAGTCTGTCTTAAAAGTACCGCGCAAAGTGACGGTGGATCCATCAAGCCTGACCGACGAAGGACTGCCAAATTTGAGTCACCGAAGCAATGGACATCGTCGTCCATTCCCCAGCTCAATTGGTTCGGTAACTTTCAAATTATAGCAGGCCCTTCCTCGGTCAGGTTTGATGGATCCATCGTCACTTTGCGCGGTACTTTTGAGACAGACTGTACGGTCGCCACACCTGGTACCTCACGCAGGAGCTGTTTACCTTGGCGCTGGTCAGCTCCCTGGTGGATCCTCCAACGAAACGGCGGATGGCAGACGTCATACACGAGTATGCGACGGAGCAGGCAACCGCAACCAGAATGGGCAAGCCCGATCTCCCGACTCTGCCCACCGAGGCCGGCCAAGTGAAGGCACTGGAACTGGATGACTTCATCGGACCAGAATCCCGCACAGTGTTCGGAGTCCTCGGCATCAGCGCGGGATTTCTGCGAAAGCCGCTGCCGTGGGACGGTGATCCGGACTTTGATCGCCTGGCGACATTCGTCCTGCACCTGCGGGTCACAAACGACACTGCGGAGCGCGGAGTAAAGCTCATTAGTGACTTCATCGGCCACATCACGACCTCCGACTTCGAGCTGCAGGAGCTGCTACAGGTTGTGGAGGCGCACCGTCAGCGGTACTCAGACTACAGCAAAGCCACCCTGTCAGCCGCCGTCTGAGGCCATGAGACTGTGATTCTGTGACTGATCAGTGCTGTGCGTCTTTCATTGGCTGTGATGTGACAGAAAAGATGTGATTTAGGTTGTTTATCGTCTGTTGAGAAATGCATTTGTTTTATCGTTTCATCAACATATGTCTTTCGTACCAAATACGAGCAGCAGTGGAAACCAGACGCTGTGTTTTGGTTACCTTATATCTAAAGTAGGATAAAGCTGCCTACCTCGGAAAAGTGACATAATGATTTGCCAGTTGTTACTTGTTTCGTGTTTGTCGTTTTGTTTTGTGTCATTACCATTCCTAGGTAATGTATTATTCAATACAAATCAGACGGGTTAGACCACCTGTGCCGAGTTTACGAGCGAAGATGTGTCGATGTGTCAGACAATGACACGGATCTCACCACACATTATTTTACATTTATGCGTAGTGCTGCTGACACGACAACTGCAGGACTCGCACCGGAGAATGGCCTTCTCTGTGTACTTAGCACCGGAAAACTTTGACGCTCTTGCGCTAGGGTCGAGGGTTTAGCTAGTTGGCTGAAATTCGGTGTGCTAGCTATTGGGCCATCTAGCAATGGGAAAACACCAGGGGAGCTTGTCCATCGAAAAGTTGTTTTTTTTTGGACAGGTCTAGAGCACAGGTTTGCTTCATGTCAGAACGGTGACTGTCCCACTACAGTGTTCACCCATGAGAGATCAGTACCATGTGTCTCGTGTGGTGGTGACTGACACAGTTGTGGTGAAGGCTCGGACTGAGATGTTGTTTAGTGGTGAGGTACGTGAGCGACGTTTGCAGGGTCAGACGTGTTTGTTGGAGCCAGAGCGTCCTGCTGAAGACAAGTTAGGCGTTTGTGTGGCTCGGTTAGCTGTTAAGGTTGATGATTACTGTGTTCCCATTCGTGTGTCTAATGTGTCAGCTGATGATGTGAAAGTGTATAAGGGGACACATATTGCCAATGTTCAGGTAGTAGGAGATGAGGCTGTGCAAGGGGTGGGTCATCCAAACCCCTCAGACCTGTCTGACTTTGACAAGGACCTGGACAGGGTGACTGAACATCTGACCATGCAGGACAGGAGTGACTTCAAACAGATCCTGACTGAGTACAAGGAGGTGTTTACAGGATTGGGTAGGACGAGCATTGCTGAGCATTGCATACCGACTGGTGACCACAGACCTATTTTTCAGAACTACAGACCTGTGCCGGGTCACATGAAGGGGAAGGTGGCTGAGCAGCTGAGTCGGTTGGTTGACAGTGGAGTTGTTCGGCCTGTACCTGAGTCGGAGTGGGCGAGTCCTCTCGTCGTCGTCTCCAAGCCGCACAGTAAGGACGTTCGTATCTGTGGTGATTACAGGCGTCTGAATCGCATCACTACTCCTTGTGTGCAAGTCATTCCACATATTGAGTCATGTTTGCGGAAACTTTCGGGAGCTAAACTGTTCACATCGCTTGATTTGGCGCAGGCCTATCATCAGATGCCGCTTCATGTAGCTGATCGTGCTAAAACAACAGTCACAACAGAGTTCGGTTTATTTGAATATCAGTCTTGCCCTTATGGACTTCAGGGATTGCCTCACAGTTTCAATCGTGCTGTGGCACTGGCATTATCTGGTGTTAGTGTGGATGTTTATGTTCAGTATTTCGATGATATCCTCGTTTTGGCCGAGGACATGAGTGAGATGAAATCGAACCTTCGTGCTATATTCCAGTGTTTACAGGACGCTGGCTTTACTCTTTCGCTCCGGAAGATTCGTCTGTGTCAGAGGGAGGTGAAGTTCCTTGGATTTCTGGTCAGTTCTGAGGGAGTCGCGTGTGATCCCGAGAAGACGCGTCTCATCCGAGATTGGCCACAACCAACTACAGTCAAGCAGGTCAGATCATTTCTGGGGCTAGCTTCATATGTTCGTAAGTTTATTCCCAGATTTGCTGAGTTGGCTAAGCCGCTGACCAGATTGACCGAGAAGGGTGTGCCGTTTGTATGGACGTCACAGACAGCTGAGGCCTTTCAGGGTTTGAAAGCTGCTTTAGCGTCGCCACCTGTGCTGGCGCATCCGTCGTTTGAGAAGGGCGCTCCGTCGTTTATATTAGATACAGATGCCAGTGGTGTAGCGATCGGGGCTTGTCTAACGCAGAACGATCGGGTGATCGCGTATGCTAGTCGTCCGCTGACGAAGGCAGAGCGGCAGTATGCAGTCACAAAGCGTGAATTGCTAGCTGTAGTCTGGGCAGTGCAGCATTTCCACCAGTTCTTGGTGGGAGCTAGGTTCGTTTTGAGGACAGATCACGCAGCACTTCAGTGGTTGTTTAATTTCAAAAACCCAGAGGGCCAGATCGCCAGATGGCTGCTGATACTTTCAGAGCTGGATTTTGTGACGAGACATAGGAAGGGAGTTTTGCACAAAAATGGGGACGCTTTGTCTCGATATCCGCATCCAGAGGAGTCGGATTGTTCAGATGGTGTGACGTATCGATGGATTCGGGTCCCAGTGACGTCACAGGATGCAGATGTGGGAGGATCTGGACCAGTGACTGATGAGTTCCATGGGACACCGGTGTTGCGTGCTGTGACATCGGAGACCGAGCAGAATGTGAATGAAAGTAGCATTCAGGGCATGACCATTCAGCAGCTGTCACAGGAGCAGGACAGAGATGCTGGAATTCTGGAGCTCAAGGCGTGGAAACGCAAACGCGTTCGTCCGCGCGAGAAGCACCTGAGATCAGAGGGCGCCATACGGTTACTGAGAGAGTGGCGGCGGCTCGTGGTGCGTGGTGAGGAACATCCTGTTTTGTACAGACGGACGCAGACAGTAAGGGGAGCACCTACTTGTTTGCAGATGGTTGTTCCACAACACCTTCGTCGTGAGATCCTGGAGGCACTTCACTGTGGCTATGGTGGAGGACACCAAGGTGCAGACCGGTTAGAGAAGCTGGTTCGACAGCGATTCTTCTGGCCGGGCATTCAGTCCGAGGTGAGGGGGTTTTGTCAACAGTGTGAGGTGTGTGAGAAAAGGAGAGACGCACCCAGAGGGTCAGAGGCTCCCATGGGGTCATTGCAGTCCGAAGGATTCATGGATCGGTTGGACATTGATTTGGTTGGACCTCTGCCAGCGAGTGAACCTGACGGATATAAGTACGTACTGACGTGCATTGATTCCTTTACCAGGTTCTCATGGGCATTTCCGTTGCCAAATCAGGAGGCACGTACCATTGCTCAGGCGCTGATGGAAAACGTGATTTCTGTTTTCGGTATTCCTCGTGCTATTCACAGCGACCAAGGTCGTAACCTGACGGGTAAAGTGATGACCGAGCTGTACAGTCTGCTGGGTATTCACAGCAGTACGACCAGTGGGTATCATCCCGAGGGCAACAGCTATTCGGAACGCAGTCATCGTGTTCTGATGGCAGCTGTCGCCAAGATGTGTGCTGACCATCCAAAGGCGTGGCCTACTTGTTTGGGCCCTGCTGTGTTGTCAATGAACGCCAATGTACATGACTCCATAGGGATGTCGCCCTATGAAGCTGTGTTCGGACGCCAGGTAAAGCTGCCTGTGGACCGGACGTTTGGAGAGGGAGCCCAGGTCGCGCCGGATCAGTCAAGTGAACCGGACATTCTGGCATACGTGAAAAGGCTCCAGGAGACTATTGACAGCACTGATCAGTTGATTCGTGATGCTAGCGTTTCAGCTCATGAGAAGAGTAAGGTTCTTCATGATTCTCGTTTAGTTGAATCGGTATTCGAGGTTGATGACAGAGTATGGCTTCGTAAACAGGTCTTCAAGAGAGGAGAGACGCCGAAACTTTCTTGGAGGTGGGAAGGTCCGTACAGAGTTCTCGAGAAAAGGAGGGG